AAAAGAAAAAGGAGACACACAAAGAGAAAAAGGAGACAGACAAGGAGAAAAAGGGAGACAAAAGGAGACAAAAGGAGACAGAAAAAAGGAGAAAAAAGGAGACAGATAAAGGGAGACAAAAGGAGACAGATAAAGGAGACAGAAGGAGACAAAGGAGACAGATAAAAGGAGACAAAAGGAGACAAACAGAGAAAAAAGGAGACAAACAGAGACAAAAGGAGACAAATAGAGACAAAAGGAAACAAAAGAGAGACAGAAGGAGACAAAAGAGAGACAGAAGGAGACAAAATGAGACAAAAGGAGACAAAAAGAAACAAAAGGAGACAGAGAGCGAGGCACTAGAAAGAAGAAAGGAGACAAAAGGAGAGAGCATAGAGGCAAAAAAGAAGAGAAAGAGACAAAACAAAAAAGAAAAAAAAAAAGACAAATAAATAAACAAAACCTACTCGATATAAAACTGAAAGAGGAGAGGCTATCCGTGCTGCTGCTGCTGCTGCTGCTGCTGCTGCTGCTGCTGCTGCTGCTGCTGCTGCTGCTGCTGCTGCTGTCGTCGAGCTGCGGGTACTGCCATTGAGGAGACAAAATTTGTGGGGTGTCTCTGCAGAAGGCCACCAGCGCCATCTTTACACCTAAAAGAGACAAAAAGAGACAAAAAGGAGACAAAAAGGAGACAGAAAGGAGACAGAAAGGAGACAAAACGGAGACAGAATGAGAAAAGAAAGGAGATATGATATTAGGAGGCAAATTGAGACAAAAAAGACGAAAAAAGGACAAAAACGGAGACAGAAAGGAGACAAAAAAGGAGACAGAAAAGGAGACAAAAGGAGACAAAAGGATACAAAAGGAGATAGAAACGCCACAGATAAAAGGGGATAGAGAGGAAACAAGAGGAGACAGAAAGGAGACAAAAGGAGACAAAAGGAGACAAAAAGAGACAGAAGTAGATAAAGGGAGATAAAAGACAAAAGGAGACACAAAGAGACAGCAATGAAGCAGAAGGAGACAAAAGGAGACAAAAAGGAGACAAGAAGAGACAAACAGGAGACAAGCAGGAGACAAAAAGGAGACAAAAGAGAAACAAACAGAGACAAAAGGAGACAAAAAGGAGAAAAAGAGACAAAAAGGAGACAAAAGGAGACAGAAAGGAGACAAAAAGGAGACAAAAGGAGACAAAAGGAGACAGCACCTGTCTACCTGCATCTATCCCTTTAATACACTTACATACATATATATGTACTTATTTATTTATTTATTTATTTATTTATTTATTTATTTATTTATTTATTTATATTTATTTATTTATTTATTCATATTTTCTTACTAAAAGTTAATATGTAAGCCATCCAGTGTACAGCGCATCGCGCAGAGGAGACAGATGAAGCAGAGGGGGCCAGGCTAGCAGCCATATATAACACTAAAAAAAAAAAAAAATAAATAAATAAATATATATATA